CTTATTATAGGGTAATGGAATGAACGCATCACCTATGTAGAATGTAAATGCTGGACCCCTTTGCTTTGAGTTGGAACTCTTTATTTTTTGTTTACAAAAGAAAATTTTCTGGTTAAGGTGACGTATGCACATGCGTCCGTTTAAAGTTTAATAAGAACAGAAAACTCAAAGCAGTTGCCTTATTATCCCTTATCAAATAATAATTAGGGCACGTTTACATGCCCTTAGATTAGACAAATTGAAAACCACCCTTTTCTTTCCAGGATTTTGGTTTGACTATTATATTTAGCAAAATAACAATTCATAAACCATGGGCTGAAAGGCAACATTCCACCTAACGTCTTTATCAAACTCTGTAAAACTACGTTACATAGTAGAGAACAAAATAATGAAATGAAGCTCTGCAACCAGCATATCTTAATTCAAACACTGTACCAGGCACAGAGAGAGAGAGTAGTGTGAAGAACAATAAATACTGAAAGGCATTCATCCAATCTAGCAACTCGTCTCAGTAACTTGTGGACCTAAGTACGGAATTTTATCCATTTCTGAGTTCGCAGGCATTTCAATCTCTTCCAACCACCCATAACAATCACCATTCCCTTCAGTTACTGCTGCCTCTCCATCTGCATTGAAACATTGCCAGGTGAATCAGGCACAGTTTATAAACTCAAACATGAATTCTTTCCAGTAATCAAAGTTTCAATATTTTGAGCAGTGCACTTTCTTCCCAAGTTCATCATACAGATGCGAATTAAGCTTCAAAGAGTTTGAGAATTTAGAAAGGTTCATATGCATCACACCCTGCTTACATTGTTGTCACACTATATTAAAGGAAATAAATCACACGCTTTTGGCAAATTTTCAAAGAAGAAAGTGCTCATGGAAGACCAAAAGAGCAAAAGTTCACTTACTTGGATAAGCAGCATAGGGATGATCTTTGTAATATGAGCAGTCCCGGTCATCTTCTTTAGAGTAAGGAGGTCCAAGCACATCCAGCACAGCACATGGGGTAATGGCTGTGAAGGCATGGATGTTGCCACCTTCTGTTGGATATAGTACTGATGTATTGCAAGGGGATGTGAAGACGCTATCAGCTTTCAACTTTGCCAGTCTGACTGCAAAACCATCCTACACCGGTTACCCATCCATCGTCCACATAGATTTCTTTAAAATGAAATAAAGAACTAGGGAGAAAGGAGACTCACATTGAGGGGCTGGTGTGGAACCATCTGAATTGACAGGATCAACCCAATCATATGATTTAATATGCATCTTGCCTAATAGAAGCTTACTGAAAACAGTCATTTCTGGATGGTTATGGAGTGGGATAACACCAGTTGCTGGAATAAAAAGGCAGCACAACTGCACGTAAGAATAAACAGGAAGCGTGATCAACAAATGGCCAAGTAAATGGTTTATGGCAAAAACAGCACTGCTAGAATATTGAAGTTTGTATGAATTCTATGAATTTAATTAGTAAACAAGCAAAATATGGTAATTTTAAAGGAACTCATTAGCAGTTGTTCTGAGAAATTATCCTCAAGTAAATACTAGACTTACCGAAAAATTCCTGCACTCGTATATTGTTGTATATGTGACCCTAGGAGTCCCTTGGACCACAGTTTTAGGCTTGAAGAACTGCAGATCCCTACTAAGCCCAACATCTTCTGGTCTCATATTATCTACAGTACCACAAGAAATAACGCTTGTCATGAAGGTTGAGGACATCCAAACTAAGTATTAAGGAATGCAATCAACTCAGACAATGTTTCCTTCAGACATGGAATGAAACAAAATTTTATTTATTACCCGTAAATATTCAATACAAATGCCAGTCTACCCCTCTCCCACAGGCATGTCCGTGTATATATATCCTACTTTCATTATCTTGTGCACGCTACAGCATATTTTAAAGTACAGCACAACTTCTTAAGTAAACACACATTGCCTGCATCTTGACAAATCCTCTGTTTTCTGTTTAGAGTTTTCTGGACTACGCACACTTCTGGAAAAATTAATCAAATAAATATTAAACCGAGCATTCTGGCAAAATGCAAAATTGGGGTTTCGTCTAGGAAAGTCTACAATGCTTTAAAAACTGGGGATCTTTCATTGCTTTATGATTTACTTGAATTTTTCAAATCAAGGACAAGCCAGGCCAAAATTGCAATGACCAGGACATAGAAAACAGCGAGTAAGTTACCATTAAGTCTCAAAAAGCATACACTATGCACAACAAAATAATATTATAAGTATCAACAGACATAATCGCTTTCAATTAGTTTTCCTCCTGGCCGAAGCTTCTAATAGAAGAAGACAAGAGAAACCATTCCCTTTTGGCAACTCAAAACTAGGTACTCTTGGTCCCCCAAATCCATAGATTGGGGTCCACGCCTTGACCTTGCGTTCATATGTAGCCTACTACTGATGTCATATGAGGATGGAGGCACTTATTCTAGGAGCATTAAACCCAAAAACCAAAGCACATGATGCACTCCAATTTTTTATTTTTTCCTGTTTATAGCAATGCCCATTGAATTTAGTTATGAATAGTAGCTTTGTTCCCTTATCTTTTTTCCGATTTGGACTTTTGCCTAAAACAGAATGACAGAAACATACGATTCCGACAAAAAAAAAAACAGATATACATATACAGATGGAAAACGTCAGGGATTGGAACCTCAATAACCAAAAAACATATATGCAATTTAAAAGAAGCAGAGGATCAATCAAATATTCAAAGTACAAGATTCCTATCAAAAATCAATCACAGTACAAGATGCATTTCTGGCAAGTATGAAAATTTGGAGAACATACCGAGAATGCTACACAACTTGTGTACATCATGAGGCGAAGGAACAGTTCCAGGGCCTTTGAAAACTTGTCTACACGAAACAAAGAGCTGTTGCAGCGCAATTGGAACCGTTGATGGCACCGAATGCTTCATCTTCTTGCCGCATTTTCTCTTCTTTATGGCCTTGTTCACATGATACCCAACCTTGCTAGCGTGCCCAACACGCGAAACGACCTTGTGATCTCTTCCCTGCTCCACCAACCTCGCAGTCTCCATTGTCATATATATATACCTTCACTTGGAAAACTGCACCCAAATAAACAAAGCAAGTGCACCGACGACGCGAAAGACTTTCTGCTTCAAGACCCAGAATTCGAAATGAAGAATAATGCGCAAGCAAGCAAGCAAAGTTCTTCTTCTTCTATGTTGCGGGTAACTGTCTGTCAGGCTGATCTGAGTGATCAACAGGTGTTTGTTAAAATGCCAAAGAAGAAGTGGGACGATGATGATATACTTGTAGAACAGTGGGATAGAGTGAAGGATTTAGGATTATATATAAGGATCCAGTTAGGCGAGAGAGATAGAGAGAGAGAGAGAGAGCAAAACCAGGGGCGGAAAGGAAAGGTATGATAGATGAAGAAAGTGGGGATGGATGGTGGAAAAACTATGCAAGTAAGAAAGGTTTCTGCGGTTGCCCCCCATAGATTTTAGTCGAAACTGGCGGTCACCCCACCCCTGGTTTTGGTTTTTGGTTTTGGTTTTGGCTATGGGAAAGCCTTAAAGCTAGATATCTGCTCACGCATTGTAAATTTACCAAATTGCCCTGATGTTTAATTTATCATGAATATTGTTGGCTTTGCTTGCTATGGGTGAAAATCGGTTGACTTTTTATACGTCCTTTGGTTTTGAGCTTGTTGGTAATTAAGTTAGCTGAATTTCCAAAATAATAATAAAATTAGTAAAAATGCTCATTCTCATCAGAATCAACCACATAGTTCTGCAGATTCTTTTCCTGACAATCAAGCAGGTCGTCCTAATTTTGCTGCAAATAGCCACTAGTTCATATATAATTGTAATTTGTAGTGATGGGCATCTCATCTGAAAAATCCGTGTATTGATTGTATCGTATTGATGATTTAGTTTGGTTTAATTAAATTAAATTTTACTTAGATAGTATTAGGTATAGAATCGAGTGAGCCTATTTAAACTCTGCATTTTTCTTTCTTCACTCTATATTGTAAGTTCACCTCAACTTTTAATTCAAATTTTCACAATTTTTAATAAAACTCCACTATCTTCCCAAACTACCCCTAAATACACGCCCAATAAATAAATAAATAACTCATCAACCTCACACCCAACACCCGACTATTTTGCCCCTCATCACTCTAAGTTCACCTTAACCTTACATTACTTAAAGAGATAAAAACACTGTTGTCAAATGTGTAGCAATATTATTTTTTTATTATTATTAAGTTGTACTAGATGTTTTGGTTTTATTTTATTTATTATTAAAATTTCAAGAAGGTTTTGGTTTTATTTTCAGCAATCACACTTCATAGTCACCAGAGCTTTTAATTTTGTATCAGCAATCACACTTTTGCTTGTGGCCATCCTAACTTCAATCTTTCACATACTCTTCAAGATATTTAAGCTAATTCATCAAAGACGAAGAAGCTCAAATTGACCTTCATTTTTTTTCTTTTTTTCTATGGAAGGGAAAGACAAGAGTTAGATTTAGTCTATGGGTAGGCCTCATCATTTGGTCCGTGGGCTCATGGGCCGATGAGGGCCCGCCCGGCCCATTGAAAAAAAAAACTATATGTCAATGACCAATTGATTAATTGTACGTGTTTGAGCAATTGCAATAATAACTATATGCCGAAAATTTGACTTTGCAATGGAGCAATAAATTTGGAAATAGAGAGTCGTTTTTGTTTGGTGGGTCGGATCGGACAAGACTGAGGGCTAGAACTAGACCAAACTTTGAGTTTGTTATTTGGTGCTATACTTAACTTTGGATTGGACTGAACTTAAGTCCAATGGACAGTTTGGTACAAGACTGGACTAGAGTGCACTGGACCTCATTAATTTTTTTTAATTATAATATTTTGTTTTTGTGTTTATTAAATTATTTAATATCAGAAATAATTAATTTAAAAAAATGCACAAAATTAAAATTAAGAAAGCCCCCATCACATTGCTCAAAACATATCCAAATTTAACAAAGCAATTAACTACCTATTTGCTTTTGCCCCCATCAAAATACAAGGAAGTCGAAAATATAACAAAGTAATTCTTTACGTAAACTTTGAGTAACAGAATCAATTTCCGTTTCTGAGAGCTTCTTTTTCAGCCTAGTGTTCCAGTAGTTCTTTACATTATTGTCTGTCCTCCCAGGAAGTTGCTGTGGTATTATAGACCACCTGCACCACAGAATCCATGGCAAAAATAGTGAAAGAGGATCAGTGTTCTTGCATTGGCAACAGAAAAGGAGGCTTGGGGCTTCTCTTCTAGCTTGCCAATCCATATGATCTGTTGGGTTGACTTTTGGCTATGAACTGGGTTTCTTCATTTTTTCATATTAGTGAAGGTTATTGGGTCACTGGGTATTGTCACTATAATAAGCACATGTGGTACAATTAGGAGCTAAAAGGGCCCCTATGTTTTAGCTTTTTGTCATGAGTACAACAATTATAAGCGTGTTCAAAACTCACAAGCTCTCTCTCCAAAGGTTAAATCAGAAAAACTATGAACTGGAAACAAAGACAAAGCAGATCAGATCGGATCGGATGCCATAAAATAAAGATTAGTGAGAATTTTTCTTCTAAATTCCTCCCCCCAAAATCTGTAACTCATTGAAAACAGCAGTTTAAAACCTATGATCAAATCAAATGTTTGTACAACAAGGGAAAACAAGGACAATGAAGCTGCCATGTAAACAGTAAGAACAACAGTGATATGATGTATTAGCAGAAAAGATGGGGCTTGGAAGGAGGATTTGAATGAACCATTGTAAACAGCTAGAAAGTCTGCATAGAAAAGACCTAACCTGCTACCTACGGTTGCATGAAGCCTGACAATCAATTCCTCCTCATGGGGTGTGAAGGACTCATGCTTGAGATTAGGCCTCAGGTAATTAGTCCACCTAAGCCTGCAACTCTTCCCACATCTTGTAAGTCCTGTAAATACTCATACATTAAGTTAATTAGCCTAGAAATGCAGCATATAATCCAGCAGCATCCCCCTGCCAGCCTGTCAAGAAAGAATTAAGGAAAAAAAACATGAAAGTTAACCTGGTTTTTTTGGAACAGCAGTCCAGTTACAGGTTCCACATGCTTCGACCTGTAATTAAACTCACCATCTTATCTGTGTTAATCCAACCAAAACATAAACTGACTTAGAAAATCAACAACAATAAACTAAAGTAAGATTTGTTAATCCAACCAAAACATAAACTAACTTAGAAAATCAAAGAAATAGAAAGATTATTTACCAACCTCTACATAAGCATTCCACACCTCGTCGCTATCAACCTCTACACATTTATTCTCATCATTCCAAGCAAAACCACTTTGGTTTCACATGAATGATCAATACCATCCAATTTTTCATACATTTTTAAATGTATTTTAGTCTTTTTATTTTCAAGGGTATTTTTAAAATGAAAAAATCATTAATTTTTTTTTTAATATCTGTTAAACAATTAAAATTGAAAATATATATATATATATATATATCACCTTCCCCCTCCCCTGTGCGCCACTAGCGGCTCCAACCAACCCCGCCCACCTTGAAATCCATTCCCCCTTCTTTTTCACAACCTCTTCCTCCTTTTCTATCTACCATGAAACACCTACCATCCACACATAAATTTCCTCAGCCCACCCAAACTGAGTCCACCTTTTTCTTCTTCTTTTTTATTTTTGGTATTTTTCCATTTCCATGCTCAATGAACACCATAAAAAAATATTATATATGCTCAGAGAGAGAGAGAAGGGGGAAGGGGTCCTATGCGATGTGTTTTGGGGGCATGTGGGGTTGGGGCGGGGTAGAAAGGGAGAGATGTCAATTTTTTCTCTATTTTTTTTTCTTAAAAATAAAAAAACTAAAATACCCTTAAAAATGGATGGAAAACTAGATGATATTAAAGTTGGATGACAAATCATGGATTTTGAAAAATTAAGATGACATTTCTCTTAAATTCTTTTTGTTGAGGCCCAAAAAATTTAAGGAAGACCCAAGCATATTTCAAGCCCAATATAGTGCTTTTCTGTAAAGAAGCCTAGCCGATACACACATGCCATGCCAAGCGATGTTATAATTTGGCACGTGGGAAGTCACATTAAACACGTGAAATTTACCAATTTCACTCATGCCCGAGCTCACCTAACTCATTGCCTAATCAAGCATGAACAGGCCTAAGCTATTACAATACAGCAAGCTCAAGCATAAGCACACAAATAACATGCACACCAAGCAACTCCCTTTAGTGCCAAATCACGCGACAAACTTAAGAGGGCCCAAGTCATATGCAAGTCTGGGACTTGTTGAGCGGGTTGTGGTGTGGATGGTTACAAAGATCTATGAGACCTATTAGTGATTCAAAAGAATGGAGAATTTGGGCTGCTTGGGAGCACAAAAACCCAAACCCATTTTCTTGAGCCCGCTCAATGGGTAAGCAAAGAGAGCTGCGGTCTTCTTCAAGCGTTTATTACACAATCTCCAATTTTCTTACAACTCCAAAACCACGGTCATAAACCACTGCCACTCTTGCTTTAGCAACTACTATCCAACCCCTAACTGCCCAACACTAAAACCTCAGTTTACTGTGTCACCAACCTGAGCCGCTCATTCATTACCTGCTTGAACTTTAGCAGGCTATAAATGGAAGCAGTGGCTTACCCACCCATAAGAGCATCTCCACCCACAAGGGCTAAGTCTAAGGCAAGGGCAAGCAAGGGCTGCCACCTT